AATATTGATAAAAAGAAAAATTATGTGATTTCAGCAGCAACAAGATAACTGTTGGCTATGTGACAAATGGTTTGTTGTGTTCCTAGATCGTTCCATGCTGATGCCCTGCTCAGTAGCAGAGTTGAACTGACCATCATCTGAACCTGGCAACCGGACACGCAAACACACACGCTCTTTTTTGATAATGAAAATAAAATTATTTTGTTTCCTGATATTCCTTGTTGTGTGTTTGTTCCTTGGGTAGTTAATATGTTAAAAATACTTCTAGTGAACGTTAAAGTTCACTATAGAAGTCTGAAAAGTCCCCGAATGTTTGCTGAACGTCCCGCGAACGTCCCCCGCGACGTCCTGTGAACGTCCCGCAAACGTCCCCTGCGACGTCCTGAGAACGTTTAAAGAACCCTACACGAAGACGTTCAGGGGACGTTCGCAGTGGACGTTCAGGGGACGTTCTGGGGACGTGTTTTTGTTAGCTGGGCTGTCACTGTTACGTTTCACTCTTTGTAGTGTGGATTTTCCTGTGGGGTTAAAGGGTTAAGCAGCACCTGTGTGTGTGTGTGTGTGTGTGTGTGTGTGTGTGTGTGTGTGTGTGTGTGTGTGTGTGTGTGTGTGTGTGTGTGTGTGTGTGTGTGTGTGTGTGTGTGTGTGTGTGTATCTTTTCTGTCGCCTATTCTAATAATAAACTTGTTGAAAATGGATTTGACTGTTTCTGATGATTCATTACAGAAACACTGATGTTTTTGTTTTTCCTGAACTGTAATTCCCCTTGAGATCTGTTGAAATATAAAGTCTCTCATTCTCCTTCTTCAGGCTCCTCTTCTCCGTTTCCTCCCGCCTCTCTCGCAACACATCTAACGGTAACATTTGCATTCTTTTCTTAATATTTAGCAAAGCTCTTTCTAACACGTGTTCAATTTCACTCTAATATGCCATTTGCTATCTAAAAAAATAAAATATTCAGTGTGTATGTTTTTCTTTATAAACCATTTTCTCAATAAACCACTTTACAACAACAGCTACTAAACCACTCAATGAGGTGAGTACTCAACTCAATAAACATATGTGTAGGAGCCATTTTAATGCAATTGTAGATTTGTCCATTGGGGGCGATCTGACATTGGTGTTTTAGGAGCACATGGGTAATTAGACAACAGGTGTCTTGGTAGTGGGGAAGCACACAGTATTTTAACCATGTTAAGCTATGTACTATGTGGAATACCATGCTTACGGGATTGTAATGTGTTGGATTGAGTTTAATGGTGCTTAACCATAGACTGGTCCTACCAGACTCGTACATTTCATTTGTACTGAGAGTCTGGCATCACTCCATTGACTTCCCTGAAGGCGGTCCTCTGTTGAAGTTTAAAACTATTGGATCTGCCATAACCAATCGCTGACATTTGATCGTGACGTATGTCAACTCAAACTAGCGTTCAACATCAACGTCATCATTGTTCTTAGCCACTCCCTCTGTTCGCTGATTGGACCATTTAAAAATCGACCGGAGAAAACACAAGAATACACCGTAATCCCAGACGTTAGTCACTGAAGGAAATTGAAAATTGAGTGGGAGTACGTAGGATGGCGGAGCCAGGACCATGCTTCACTGATAAAGACTGATGGACAATGTTTGTGTGCCGTATCTGCAAGGTATGGGTTTATGCTTTGAACCACAAAGAATGAGACACCACAAGAAGCTAATTAGAAGCAATGTTTATTAATTAGACTGAGCACTACAAATAAACTTACATCTGTGTTCATGGAGTTTATACACGTTAATTACTTGCTCACTCCTACTAACAATAACACAGCGGAGTAATAATGTAAGGAAATATATAGTAATACTGGAAAGCTGTTACAATATGAAATGACATTTACCTGAGGCAATAATAGTAATAAACTTAAACACACACAAAAATATAAAATGTAATAAATTATAATATCAAACTGATATCTATGTTGTGGTTTTATTCCCTCACTAGGGTGCACTCTAGTTTTGGATCATCATTGGCTTTGTGACGCTTGCGCACATAAAGAGATAACGCAGCACTGTTCTGGGTCAATAAGAAACAATATAAATGCATAGAAATGTACAAATAAGTAGAAAAAAAGAATATAAATTTCTCATACAAAATTAAAATCAAAAGATAAACTAAAACCATTCAAATGAAATATGTATGAAGTGAGGTCTTGGCCATCACACTGATGCAGAAGCTGTTTGCTAAATACTTTTACACACATGTGCTGTCGCTAGCAGTACATAATTACCGTTCATTAACCACAGCTGCCAGTAGATTACAGTTATAGTAGGGGTCGCTAAAGATTCACGAGGGGTCACTAAGCTCATTCTAGTTTAAGGGTTTGGGATGAAATAACCAGTTTGACGATAAACAGCGATGCAATATCCAGCGGTTAGTTTTACTGTTTAATATTTGAATCGTCATTTAAACAATATTTGATTCCCAGGATTTGAAAAACTCATGGTAAATACTGCAGTATTAAGCAAAGAAACAACAGTCTCATGCAGACAGGCTTGCAGCGCAGGATTCGTTTTGTTTGAATAAAAAAAGAAAAAGTGAGAGAGGTTTTACAAATTTTAGTGCTGAGGAAATAATATGAATTAAAGTATGAATGCATCTCTGAAGGAAACAGACTGCCTTGAGAGAAGTTTTGATGGCGTTTTCTGTTCATCCTCCCTCCGTACATCATGACTTGCGTAAACATACACGCCACTTTCAAGTCAAGTGCCGTGTTATCATTTTGAGCTATCTGAGTGTATGTACACGCCGTTAAATGTCCGAGCGAAACGAACAAAAATGTAGATCTACATCTGGGTAGCGTTTTTTTTTTTTCCTAGGATGGTAGGGGAAGACTCATAAATGCCATTAACCCCAGTGACGGGTAAGTTTAGCGACGGGGTTGAGGTAAGTCATATATTTATATATACAGTTCATAAACATGCCGAAAAGCGAAAAGGCCATCAATGTGTACTTATTTACGAGTCATTAAATCATGTTTAATTTGGACTTCTCTGTGCATGCTCTTTGAGGTGGTGACCATAGACCTCCATTATATGACTGACAGACAAGAACGGTTTGACCGAAAAATGTCAAAATTGAAAATATTGTGAAAACAAAGACACCTACATCTTGGATGCCCTTGAGGTAAGATAAAACATATCAAAAATTAATTTCAAAGTGAACTATCCCTTTAAAGCTCACTAAAAACCTGGTAAAATGCTCTCATTCGACCATCAGGCTCAGCTATGTGATTCAGTTCGCACGACCGATCACGATCCGCTTCCGGGGAGTCCGCTACACTGGTCGGTGACCATACGTGCGTAACACACAACCTTGCTGGTGAAAGGTGCAATCGAGATTGTCCCTCCAGCCGAAATGAAGCCCGGGTTCTACAGCCCATACTTCATTGTACCGAAAAAAATCCGGTGGGATACGGCCAATCCTGGACTTGCGCGTTTTGAACAGATCCCTTCACAGGCTTCCGTTCAAAATGCTCGCATTTTCGAATGTGTTCGGCCACAGGATTGGTTTGCAGCGATTGACAGACCGTTTCTTCGGTTTGCTTTCGAGGGGAAGGCATATTAGTACGTGGACACGTGGTTCTCCCCTTCGGCCTGACCCTCCTCGCGTCTTTACGAAGGTCGTCGAGGCCTTGTACCGCTTCGGCTACACGGGGTTCGCGTCCTGAACTATCTCAACAACTGGCTCAACATGGCTCAACTGGTCTCAACATCCTAGCTCACTCTCGAGACCAGGTATGCGAACACAGGGACCTTGTGCTCCGGCACCAAGCTCGTCTGGGCCTTCGGGTCAGCTGGGTATCTTTTCTCGGTATGGAAATCAACTCGTCGCCATGTCCACGTAGCTTACGACCTCTGGAGTTGAGAGATTCCACCCTACGGGCTGGACACTCCAGTGTTCTTCCATATGCAACCCGCTCACGGATCATGTCTATTCGTAGAGTGCTGTTACTGGGTGAATATAACATGACTGGAAAAGGCTCTCAGCTAATCAGATTCAAGAATTGTATAAAAAAATGTAAATTTAATGAATGAGTTTATATAGAAATGACTTTGTCTATGAAATAGCACTTTTGTTTAGGAAGAGAATGAGAGATATATTTTCAGGATTATACAATCACAATACAACAGATTAAAGAATCAATAGAGAGCCTAAGTCCCGCCCCTCCGCTTCCGGCTCATGGGACCTTATTTCGGAAAAAATATGTGTTGTAATCAATGGCGAGAGACAACTTATCTTTTCATTCCGTCTGAACAGTGTCCTGAATTACACATATGATGTTCGTCAAATTAAAAGATAATTCTGAAAGTCAAAAATGTCGCCGTTTGTTATAAAACAGAAGAGTAACCTTTAGTTTTATGTGAAAATCGCTCAATGAACTACACCTCCCGGGAAGCGAAACAGAGCGAGATCCTCTGCTCGTGTGTGTGCAGTCTGGTACAAAACACTCAGGCATGACGGCGTAACGGTAAGTTTATAACGTAAGACTGTAGAAACAATGACAGACATTAGAATTCTGCTTGTCCTATGTACATGTGAGAGGGAGCGTGCATGCTCAAGTCAAGTGAGGACAGGAGTAGAAACTGGGTGAGAGGGCATGGAAAAGTGCCTGAAAATCATGTATAAAGCCATTTTTAAAAAGATACACATGCGCAAAGAAGTTTGCCCCTATTAAAAATAAAATAATGATGCAGGTGGGAAGAGTAATAAGGAGGAGCAAAGAGAGAAAAGATAACGATTTGAGCGCTAATTGGTATAAGAAATGGGTGCAGACCATTTAAGATCAGATGGCCAGCTGGCATCTCACTTTGTTGACCTGCTCAATAAAGTTACTTCTTCTGAGACCCGAAACCTCGACTCTGAGCAATTTCTTCAAGACCTGAACCAGACTTTGATGATTTGAATTGGGACTGGAAATCTGCCACAACAGTATATGAAGATTTGGCCTTTGTTGTTCAATCAGATCAATTATGGCCCTTATTTTCTTTTTGCTATTGCTAATGTTGCTGCTGCTGCTGCTATTGCTGCTACGACTCCTCCTACTACTGATAGTGCCACTGCCACCGACACAATTCCCTTATTTTCTACTTCCACTTCTACTACTCCCGCTCCTACTACTACCCCTCCTACTCCCGCTCCTACTGCTAGCCCTACTACTACTGCCCATCCTACTGCCACCCCTACTGCTCCTCCTTCTCCTCCAGCCCTTCTTAGTACCACTCCTAATGCTGCTGCTACTCCTACTACCGCTCCTAATGCTATTGCTCCTCCTACTGCCGCTCCTACAAATAATGATACTATCATTCCTAATCCTGCTCCTACCAGTACTACTGCCACTCCTAGTGCTGCCGCTCCCACTGCCGCTCCTACCACCACCACCCCACCTCCTGTTGCTGTTAGTGCGGTTTGCACATTGACTTCCAGTTTTTGTTTTGAAGCCTCTTGTTCAATCCGTCTCTGGGCTTCTTGAAATCTGTCATTGGTGTAGTGCTGTCCTCCATTGATCCTCACCATTTCATCAATCTTCTGCAGCAGTTCTGTGACCTGAGAGCGATTACTCATGTCTTCATTGTTGAACGAGTGAAATCTGCCACCACACTCGTTAACGAGAGCCTTGAGATCGTTACGCTCACTGATATAGTCATCTAATGAAAGCCCCTTCAGATGATCAGTGTGAGTGAACAGAATGATGGTGTGATGAGAAGCTTTTCCTCCAAAGTGTTTCTGGATCCATTTCACTGTTTTCTTCTCTTCTTCTGTGAATCTCACGCCCAGTCTGATGACCAGCAGAAACACATGAGGACCAGGAGCAGACATGTAGATGCACTTCACGATCTCTTTCTTCAGTTCTTCTTCACTCATTTCCGTATCATATAGTCCTGGAGTGTCGATCACTGAGATGGTTTTATCCTCCTCCACTGCAGTCACATGTCTTTGACATTGTCTAGTAATAGACTTAGTGGACACACCTTGCTCAAACTCAAAGCCGCCGATGATGGTGTTTCCCGTTGAACTCTTTCCTGATCCAGTTTTACCCAACAGCACAATCCTCAGATCTGAGAAAGAGAGAGAGGAATTTAAATGTTATTTACGCATTAGGAATTATAATAACTTAGCATTATGTTTTTTTGCTCATTACTCAGTGTGCCTCGAGATGCAACATGACATCATGACTTTTGTGTAAACATACACGCCACTTTCGAGTCAAGTGGCGCGTTATCTCTACGCATTTTCCGCGTGTATCCGCGTATGTCTACGTCCAAGTGATTCCGCGTGTCTGTACACGCCGTCAAATGTCCGAGCGAAAAGAAGCGAAATGCAGATCTACATCTGGGGAGCGATCTCTTTTTTTTCCTAGGATGGTGAGGGAACAGTCATAAATGCCATTAACCCCAGTGACGGGTAGGTTTAGGGACGGGGTTGACGTAAGTCATATATTTATATATACAGTAATAACGTTAAGTCAACGGCGTTCATAAACACGTTGAAAATCGATTATGCCTCTTGATAGCACGCCAAAAATGGAAATACGAATTGGCGTGTCATACACACGCTACTTCATGAGATCAGTCTGCGAGATGACTTAACATGACTAAAGATGAGAACTAGTATCTAAAATAAGTTAATTAAAATTGTTTTAAATTACCCTAGTCACGGTTGTAGTGCGTGTAGAAGGAGAGACTGAGGCAAAAGCTTCAATTCAAACATTAACTATTACAAAATTAAACAAACTGGTACAGGCAGGTAGATGGGCTGAAGATCCACAAACTCACAAAGACACCGAAACGTTAACAACGACTGACGCGGACAGGCTAACTAAATACAAGCAAAAATCAAACACACAAAATGAACATGTCTCGTATATAGAAATAGTTTTAAGTTGACATTTATTCGCTTTGTTGTGCATAAGAATCCCACCATGCATTTAGTCATATTATAAAATAATTTATTGAAGCATCTAGATCCTTCACTACGTGAGCAAGCAGCTAGGCTCCTGATTGGTTTACGCTGTGCCGCGCGAATTGACGCCAAAGTTCATATTTTTCAATCGTGCCAGACGCGATTCCAGGTGTATTCGCAGGAATTTTTTACGCGTGTTACGCGTCTTTGCATTGACTTAACATTGAAATCATTCGCGCCCGACGCGCTTTTCGCGTACCATTAAAGTTCCCAGAACCAACACTAAATATATTTAGAGAAAGTTCTTATAACAAAAAATCTGCTAGCTGGGAATGATTTAACATTTTTTTTACAGTTACCAACAGTACTTTTAAGAAACTTTACTTTAGACAAAATTAGAAGCATTTCTGGCCGTTTATTATTATTCTTGAGAAATGATAATACTAATTTTAAGCGTATTTAACGTTATTGCATCTACGAGACCTCTATTTGATGTGTGTTTACATCTGGAAGACGTATTTTTTTTAGAGCGTTTGCTCATACGTCTATCGGACGTTTCCTGCCAGATGTCAAATAGACGTTTAGAAGATGTTTTTAAGATGTAATGATTTAGAATGCACGTTAAACTGACATCTTAAAGGGATACTCCACTTTTTTTGGAAATAGGCTCATTTTACAACTCCCCCAAAGTTAAACAGTTGGGTTTTACCATTTTCAAATCCATTCAGCCGATTTTCTGATACTCTGGTCTCATTGACTCCCATAGTATATTTTCTTTCCTACTATGGAAGTCAATGAGACCAGAAACTGTCTGGTTACTGATATTCTTCTAAGGCCCTGTTTACACGAGAACTCTCACGGGTGAAAACGTGAAAAAATTTTATCGGATGTGCCTTTCGTTTACACGGCGACGGCGTTTTTTAAGCTTAAAAACTAAAAAAAGTGAAACCACCCTCCAGAGTGGAAATCTTAAAAATGCTCTACCGCCGCGTTCCCGTGTAAACGGTAAAAACGCAAAAGTCTGTTTGACGGTGAAAGTTGTACGCAGGCGCGCGGGCTTGGTGTTGTAGTATGCACTCCTAGCCGCCTGAAGTGCATACTACATTGAATTTCACACACTTTTGCGTCACCATTTGCACGCGGATTTCCCACACAAAAACGCTCGTCTAAACGCAGAAAAAAAGTGATGACGCAACGCCACTTTTGCTTTTTCTCTTCTGAACTGTTTCCGTGTAAACATAGCCTTAATATCAGAAAATCGACTGAATGGATTCGAAAATGGTAAAACTCAGCTGTTTAACTTTGGGGGAGTTGTAAAATGAGCCTATTTCCAAAAAAAAGTGGAGTATCCCTTTAAAGATGTCTATCAGATGCTTTCCAGATCTTTAACAGACATCTTGTCTTCTAACGTCCCTCGCCCTTGATCGTCCTGCTCGCCACAGCCTAACTAGAAATTTTGTGTGAAATGAATTTCAAACTCTGGTGAGAGCTAACGTTAGCCTTGTAGACGGAAGAGTGATTTCTCTGATGTGTGCGCCGTTCCGGATTAGTGGGTGTGGCTTGCGGAACTGTGCAATGTGGTGCATTGTGGGAGTTGTTGTCTTACATATTATGCATTTACTTTTTGTTTTGTTGATTGTGGAAGTGAAATAGTATATTTGCTACAAGCAAATCTGGCAGGTTGGAGTTCGAGTTGAACAGTGTTTACAGTCAGCAGGATATGGCTAACAGCATGTATGAGAGGATACGAGAATGTGGCTGATGCAATACATGCAGTGAACTTTAGCAGAACTTCCATCTACTGGACATAAGAAGAAACGCTAACAACACTTGTCTGTTAGATGGACTTACTTTTGAGTCGATCTGAATCTTCCCTCACTGCAAAACAACACAGTAAAACACACAGTTAGTGAAACTGATGAACATACAACAGAAATAATATCAACAACCCTAAAGTTTAAGACAAGTCTCTTCCATATGCATTTTATTCACTTTTATTAATGTCCTCATATAAGACAAACAGAAACCAACCAAAACATTTAAAGATTCTTCACAGGAGAAGAGAAAAACCAAACACTGAGCAACACTGAAATGCTCATTTAATATCTTAAAACATCAGTGGCGCAGTGCTGGAAGTGGGCGGGACTCGCGGTTAGCAGTAGCGGATATTCTGCATTTGACTCTCAGCGTACCTGCTCTTTACTAGCGTACCGCTACTCCTCGCACTCTTACATCTTACATCTATACACTCTAAAACATGCTGGGTTGTTTCAACCCAAATTTGGGTAAAATATGGACAAACCCAAATGTTGGGTTAAAAATGTAATTAAAAAAATTACAGTTGAAAGTAAAAATTGAAGTTGGGTTAATTTTTATTTTTAACCCAACATTTGGGTTTGTCCATATTTGACCCAAATTTGGGGTTGAAACAACCCAGCGTTGTTTAGAGTATAATGCATTTAACACACACACACACAAATTCTTTAAATAGGCTACATTTATGTTGTTAATAAATAGGCTAACAAAAGCTTAAATTGTCATTGTACAAGCAATATCTCCAAGTTTTGTGTTTGACTGTAGACATTGTGATGATTTGCCAACACAAGAGAGCCCCGGCACCGCTTCCCCACCTCAAGCACTGCAGTAAACCGACTGATAAATGCTCACAGTAAAGAGCCAATTCATTTAATGGACTTACTGTTGGGGCGGCCAAGACCTGGAGTACTTCTGTCAATCACACACACACACACACACACACACACACACACTGTTAGAGTATCTGCTGAACATTATGATCATAAAACACATTTTGTTTTCACAGATGGATTGAAATAGAACATGACAGAAAATAACACAAATATCCAGAGAGTCCGGGTTCAGAAAGTAAAAGTCCTCCTCTGTATTTTGTTCCAGTCTCCTGGATTTGCTAATTAGCATTTTTCCACAGATCGGATCAGCTGACTGAGGTCATGAGTAAACATGTGGCAGGACTTTTAATTTCTGATCGCCAGATACCCGCAACACCAGTGACTTTTCAGGTTGGAAGTGGGATTGTCCATTACTGCTGTCATAAATAATTCAGCCTAGCGCATCGGCTTTGGAGTGAATGATGTACACAGATAAGGAGAGTATGTTGCATGATTTCATGACAGTGTGATGTATTGCGACATCAGAAACGGAGAAAAACTTAATGGCTATTGTAATACTTGCCGGAAAGCAAGTCAAATGTGTAGTTTTCTTATGTCTTGTGTTTAATTCAGGCAAAGGTAAAATAACAGCAAGACAGTTCAAACAAAGAAAAAGGCAAACAGGGAAATACAAAAACAGGCTGAACACTCGAACTGAGACACAGGAGACCTGGAGAAGACTTAGAAGTGCAGTTGGCATTAACAACACGTAACAAAGCATGAGTGAGTGCATGCGTTTCACATACAGAGGAATGAAAACTTAAAAAAAAATTATTTCAATATAAATGCATATATAATTTATATATTTAAGGGTTTTTTTAAAACACAAAAAAAGTGAAAGCACCCTCCTTAAAGCCGTTCCCGTCTGAAGGGTCAACCGCCAAAGTCTAGACGAGGAAGACACTGATATGCTCTCGTCGCGTGTGTGTTTACGTAAAATATTTAGTACTTTATATATGTGTATAGACAAAAATGTTTATCATATTTATTTTTACATTCTCTCTTTTTTTGCATTTGTATATATATATTTTTTAATGTTATTTTTTTTACCCCTTAACAGATCTTGTATCAATCAATGAAGTAGCCTAACTTAAGTTTTGGTAAAAAGCAGCTAGTCTTTTAAAACAACTATTAACATCACTATACCATTTACAACATCAGCTTTTTGCTCATTTTAGAAAACTGTTACAAACTAAAATGTAAATTTTATCTGAAATCCTTTTTTCTTAAGAATTCATTCTAACATGGATGTTAAACATGGTCTAACATGGATGTTGTATGTCGATACACTAAATGTTTTGCTACTTGCTTTTACCTCTTTTTTTACTTTATTTCTTTTATTTGATTGAATTATTTTATTGTACTGGAAAGCACTTTGGACCAACTACGGTTGTGTTAAACTTGTGCTCAATAAATAAAGTTTGACTTGACTCGATTTGACTAACATGCTAATATAGTATACAATTACATATTTTTGGCCATTGTTTTTTTTTTTTTTTTTTTGCATTATTAAGTAATATTCTGATTTTTTACCAACAGATCTTGTATCAGTTTAGGAACTTTCGATTTTACAGATAACAGGATTCTTCTGATTGGGTGGAAGAGCAGGTGTTTCATCATATCAACCTTTAAATAACATTCTAGCAACATTCGGAAAACTGGACATTTTTATGTTCTTGGAATGTTACAAATGAACATTTCTAGAATGTTGAATTTTAAATCAAAATAAAGTTGAAAGAACGTTTGATGAACATTATACCTTTTAGAACACGTTCCTCTGACATCAAGAACCAACACTGAATATGTGGAGAAGGTTCTTATAATAAAACTCTGTTAGCTGGGTCAAAGATAAAGCTTTGAGAGCGCGTTCACTATATGAGGTCTTCCTCTGCTGTTCCTGAAATGATATCCCAGTTTAGGCGCACGCGCTTCTCTCGCGGCGGGCACGAGCGCGGTGAGAGAGACAATCGGGTTTCTTAGGGTGGCTTTACCCTATATTATGTTTTACTTCATTCAAAAATTCTGGCGCACTTTGAATGGCTCGTGCCCGGTTTGGAAAAGAACAGACTGAAAAAATAATAAATGATTTGGAGAAATCTCTTGGAAATATTAAATATATTTAATTAATGTCATTATTTATCTTAATAAATCCATTCTCACCGTCATTCCTATTATCATATTTCCCCCTCATCACATCATTATGACCGCCGCTGTGTTTAATATAGCCTACTCTTGTGGGATATCATTTTACCGGAGGTGTGTGTGTGTGTGTGTGTGTGTGGGTGTGTGTGTGTGTGTGTGTGTGTGTGTGTGTGTGTCAGACCCGCCGTTACTCTATCACACTGTAGGAAGATCACAGCGCGGGAAAATACTCCCTAAAACAACAATAAATAGGCTACATTCAACAATGTTTGTCATTCCTGAATCCTTAGGCAATAATATCAATAAATAATCCCATCTGCATAAAACCCGTTGCAAGAAACGCAAACTCACCAGGAGTCGAGCTGATGTTCCAGTTAGTCTGAATCTCAATTAGGAAAATAGAACAGAAATTGGATAAGCATTAATAACTGTGTGTGGAGCTTCTCCTTCTGCAGTTCTGCGTCATTGATAATTACATTATCCTTAAGCCACGCCCATTACTCGAGCTGCAGCATGACGTGATAACGAAACTGAAAGAAAATCTGATCATAAACCACACATCCATAGTCTATTCTAGAATTGCTCTTATTATTGTCGAATAATTGTTTTTTAGTTTCATTCTATCAGCCCCAACACTCACGACCTGATGCACATCTAAAATCCTCTTACATTTTCTTTTATGTGAGAAATCCATAAAATTATCCTGTCAAAACACATTCCAAGAAATCACTTGTTCTAATTAATTGTTATTATATAATTGTAGATTTATATTCTTGTAAAGGAAATATTTGGTTATATTTGTTTTTCTCTCCAGAGAATTTAATTTAAATCACCCATGTATAAGATCATTTTGCATTAAGCTTATTGCATTTTATTAGCAGTATAATCCACATTTCTGCCTCTAATCCAGAGTCATCTGTCTATGGTTCATTAATTTCTGACACTGAGTCCGTGTGAGTGTTTCTCCGAGTGTCCGCCAGGAGGCGCTAAATCCTCTCAGACTGATGACGTCTGATCTTCCGCTCATGCGCAGTGCGAGTCTGAGCCACAGATGTAGAAAACTGAAGAACAACAAACCCTCCAGATTCAGAATCAGCGCGAGTCCGTCAACACACACTCCGTCAGTGTGAATCTGATGCTCACATCATGTCTGGTAACCAGGTATGTAACGTTACATATCACTGTGTGCGACATAGGCCTGTTTTGTGTACCATTACTGGTCCCCCGGCAGTCGGCACCATTTGTGTAAGGAGAGAGCAGGTTATCTTCCATATGTCTTTTATACTGTATATCGACGACGGCGGCTATGTATTTAGCGTGAGTGGTATTGATGTTATGTCCTGATATTTGGTGTGGATTTATTGGTGCGGTATTTAAGTGATTTATATGGCTTTGAGATTTGCAGTGCAATGAAATGATGCATGCTAAACTAAATATGGAAATATTAAACGGTCTATTATTTTAACTGCTGAATAAATGTCATTAAAATGTGATATTTTTTTATTGTTTTGGAAAACTTCTTGAATATAACTCCAACATTTGATTGTGATGATGAAATGAAACGCTGCATTGTAATAAATGCCATGTTAGGGTTAGTGAACCCTAACCCAAACCCTAATGTAAACATGAGGACAGGTTATTTTCTAAATGCTGCACCTTAATGGAAATTAATTTTAAACAAAGTGTAATGTTTTTTATTAGCATGTTGCAGCAGAACTGACAGACCCGCCGTGGACTTTGTGACCTACAGAGAGTTATTTTAAATAATTCCTCAGGCCAGTATTACAGCGCTCGACCCTACCGATGCTCCGAGCGGGCCTGCCCTCTTCAAATAAGTGTGGAGGAGGCGCACGTCTTTGGCCAGGTCATGTGACCAGGAGAACGCATCGCTTTATAGCCGTCACATGACCACAGGCTCTGATTGACGCAAAGTTAAAACTGCTTCTGAGGAGACAAAAAAGAGAAAACGCGAGAGGGACACGCGAGTGCCCCCTAGTGGCCAAAAGTTACACGGTGTGCCTTTAAAGATTTCACACCACCTTTTAGTTAAAAAAAAGTATATTTATATTGTTTTGACATATTTATTTTCCCACTGTGAGCCGAGGTATTTAATTTTGAGTATAGCGTTACACTGCATTACACCTCTGCTTCAGCTGGTTTAACGAATCTGCCTTCATGTTGTATGAATATCACTGGCTCTGTGATCGATTGATTGAGATTTGATTGAATAAATGTAAATGAAGCTGCTGTTCATGTTTTGAATGTTGTTTAATCACTAGTTTGGTTTGTTTTTGTGCTCACTGAAGGAGCTCGGACATGGACACTTGTGTTCACTTATTCTATTTAGAAACTAGTTTCTGTTTCAGAAACTACAGAAACTCAAACATGTCAAACACAACTCAGCATCTCTCCTTTTTCTCAGAAATGTATAATATATAACACTTATTTTCAACATTTACTGTCCTAGCACTGTGCAGAACATTTTGGGAAATAAAGAGATGTATAAAGTACTAGAAACCCGGACTTGAGTAAAAGTACAAGTGCTCTATCAGAAAAGTGACTTGAGTAGAAGTTGAAGTGCTCTTTAAGCACCACACTAGAAGTACTAAAGTAATCCAACATTTTCAAGTATTGCAAGTATTTTATTTTAAAATTCACTACTTAAGTACTAAAAGTAAAAGTACAAGTATTGTGTCATGTAATTATTAAAGAAAGCAATCAAAAGTTTGAACCAGCAATCAAATAAGGCGCTTTGGCGGGATTCAAATTTGCTTTGGCGGCCGCCAAAAAAATGTCATTGCAGGACAACCCCTGCATTAGTCGTCAATGTGTGTGTCAATCAATACCATTATCCTATAGACCATTTCACAAGATGTAAACAACACTGGTCCAGAAGCACTTCCTGTTTCAGTTTTTTAACACTACATAAAAGCTGGGATAAAATACAACCAACAGAACATTTAAAACTGAATCAAAAAGTTAAACAAACATCTTCAAGATGTTTTCTTTACATGTGAAATAAAGAAAACAGTTACAAACTGAAGCAGGAAGTGTTTCTGGACCAGTGTTGTTTACATCTTGTGAAATGGTCTATACAACTGGTGTGTAATTTAGGCAGCATGAAAGCCAACTTGCAATGAATGATTCGTAAAAAATTTTATAATTGTAACGAGTAACTAGCAGAACATTAAAAAAATATCGAAGTAAAAGTATTAAAGTCATCGAAAATATCTACTGAAGTAAAAGTAGAAGTATGAGAAAAAAAAAACAATACTCTGGTAGAGTACAGATACAGCATTATAGTACAGTACTTAAGTAGTTCTACTTCGTTACTTACTATACATCTCTAAAAATAATCTAACCCTGACACAGAAAGTGTTCAAGTGAACTTTTGCAAACTATACTGGATTGAATGTAATAATTGAATGCAGACAATGAGACAAACCAGTTCAAGAACACTGTTGCTTTAGCTCCTTTATTTAAAGTGTAAGGCAAGGCAAGTTTAGTTATATAGCACATTTCATACACAATGGTAATTCAAAGTGCTTTACATGGAAGAAATTAAAATAATCAAAAGAAATCAGAATAATCAAAACAGTTTAGAATAAAAAAATTATAAAAAATAAAATACAGTAAATAATTAAAACAATTTAGAATCAAAATAAAATGAAGTACAGTAACAGTCGGACGAACAGTGGCACAGTGCTCATTCAGTAAATGCACAGCTGAACATGTTTAGAGCAGCCACAACACCCTCATACATTTTCCCCCATCGCTTTTCTTGGTAAAATACCGGTGTTTCAAGTTTTGCATGCTTGCTCTGAGCTTCCCCATACTGGCTGTTTTCCATTTCTGTGGAATTACCGTTCGACGCGCGTCTATAATCTGCTGGACGTCTCAGACAGATCTGATTTTTTTTTCTTTTTGTTTGATTTTTTTAATCCAAGATCAGTTAAGGGTGCACTCTGAATGCTTTATCTGCTTGAAATATCTTGTAGTGTAAAGTGTAGAACATCATATTTCTCAGATCCTCTGCTCCAATCTCTGTCATGAACAATGTATTTATGAATAAATGTCCTCTTCCTCCATAAACACCAGCGTTTGATCCGTTTCTGACAATTTATGAACTTGATTCTGTTATCAGAGGTGACTGTGTCCAACTAATGGCCATATTACAGACATACACAGTTCAAGATCACACAAATCATGCAGTTAGCTAACATGTATTAGCTTAAACGTGTGTAGCTGCTGTTCATAATCAAGGATAATCAAGTGCATTTGATCTGATATTACAGTATAAGGGTATGCATTATATGAATGCTAGACTAAAGAGTTCCGTCTTGATTTACACTGGAAGAGTGAGTCTGAGACCCGGACATTATCAGGAAGGCTATTCCAGAGTTTAGGAGTTAAATGTGGGAATGCTCTCCCTCCTTCAGTGGACTTAGATATCCCAGAAAACTATAACATATTTATTGTCACCAGTTTTTTACAGAACTCTCGGGGTGGGCGATATAGCCTAAAAAGTATATCACAATATTTCAAGAATATTTGCGATAATGATATTTATCACGATATAGCAAAAATATATATGAAACATCGTTTTATTGGTGATTGCAGTTGGCTGGCAGCAGCATTAGTGCAAAAAAAGTATAACATAACTCCTTAACATTTTAGTTTAACAATAACTACAGTAATAACTTAACAATATTAACAATAAACTTTTAAAGGGATAATCCACTTTTTTTGGAAATAGGCTCATTTTCCAACTCCCCCAGAGTTAAACTGTTGAGTTTTACCGTTTTTGAATCCATTCAGCCGATCTCCGGTTCTGACGGTACCACTTTTAGCATAGCTTAGCATACATCACTGAACTGCACAAGACCAGTAGCATTTCTCTCAAAAAAATGACCAAAGTGTTTCAATATTTATCCTATTTAAAACTTAACTCTTCTGTTGTTACATCGTGCACTTAGACAGATGGAAAATGTAAAGTTGTGATTTTCTAGGCTGATATGCTTAGGAACTATACTCTCATTCCTGTGTAATAATCAGGAAACTTCCCTGTCGCGGTCTTCCCGGTCTTGTGCAGTTCAATGATGTATGCTAAGCTATGCTAAAAGTGGTGCCGCCAGAACCGGAGATCGGCTGAATGGATTCAAAAACGGTAAAACTCAACAGTTTAACTCTGGAGGAGTTGGAAAATGAGCCTATTTCCAAAAAAAGTGGAGTATCCCTTTAAGTACAAAAAATTTAAACAAACAGCGGCAATCCAAACAAACCTTCAAAATGTAAAACACTCACTGCTTATATATTATATATTAAAAAATGATCAAAACTTAACAGTTGCCTTGCATCTTTTTTGGATTAGCATCAAATGAGGTATATACAATACCTCATGTATACAATAATTGTATAAAATCTGAACATTTAGGGAAAAAAACATTTAGTGGGGAATAAATAAGAGACAAGTGTAACACTAAATCTGGTCAAACTTTACACATTGCTCTTTGTGTTGTACATTCATGAAAAAAAGGTAACAAAAATCAAAAGGATTAATTATTATATAGCCTAGTCTACTATAAAATTGAGACATGTTTAAAATGTATAGCACAGCTGTTTAATGAGGCAGCAACATATGATCGATAGGACAGAACAAAGGCTATTAATCTATCATTGCGCAAAAGTATTATGATATGAAAGGCTCCAATACATCGCACAGCGCTTATGCGCATACCAAACGCTGAATGATGCGCTTGAAGCAACACGGAGTCACAGCGCGTCGAGTCCGCACTGAGCAGTTCAAAGCACAAAGTATACATTGATGCGTAGCGTAGTTTATAATATACAGTATCTAGCTATGCAATTGTTTGAGTCTTTTCTTTTAACAGTTTTAAATTTCAGTTACTGTGCGCGTGATGAACAATAGTGCTCTGACTCAAGTGTTGTGCTCTAACAGACGTTTTTTTTTTTTTTTTTTTATCGTTGACGGTATGATATGGCACAGCCCTAGTACTCTCACATAACTGGTAGGTTTCTTGTACATGTGTACAGTATATTTCACAGATGGTTTCAGTTTATCCACTTCAGTTTATCAACAAGAACAAAAGTCATTAGTTAGAATAAAAGTATTGAGTTCAGTTGAAGCATGTCTAGATGTCAAGCGCTCATTTATCTGAGCATTACTGAACCTCTCACTGAATCACACACATCTTCTCTCTCACTAGTTGACGTGTAGCTCTGAGTGCAAGGAGTAATGCCTTTCCACCACTGATTGCTAGACTCTGAGCCTGCTGTATGTCACTCATTGCCACTGCATAGGCCACTGTTACCCCAAATATTACGATAACAGCTCTTACACAGATGTGATTAATTAAAGCCAGCTTAGCTTCATGTCGCGACTCCTCTACTAAACGCCTGTATATTTTCTGCCATTTTGTTTCAGGAACGTCTTTATGCTCCTGTTTGTACAGCTTCACTTTCTCATCTAACTTCTGCTTCTGAATCTCCTGGATCTGTTTCTCTGTCTCCTTAAACATGTCATTGGTGAAGTGTGTCCCTCCATTCTCTTCCACCATCTTCTCTACTTTACTCATCAGATCTCTGAACTGAGGGAAACTGGCAGACTTATTATCTATAGAGAAGAACCGGTTTCCACAACTCTCTACAAGTTGTTTAAGACCTGGATTACCTCTCTGCAGAAACTGCTCTATGGTTTTGTTCTCCTCCTTTAACTGTTCTTTGTGAGTAAAGAGGATTAATGTGTATTTTTCCATCTCTTCTCCAAACACTTTTTTGAGCATCTTTACTGTGTTTTTCTCTTCGTCAGTGAATCGATCCACTTTAATGACGATAAGAAAAGCATGTGGTCCAGGAGAAGCATGCATTATGCATTTCACTATTTCAGTAATAACCTCCTCATTACGGAGTTCAGTATCAAAAAGTCCAGGAGTGTCGATCACTGAGATCTCTTTACCAAACCTCACTGTAGTTTCTGCCTGACACTGTTTCGTCTGAGAGTCCGAGCTGACGGAGGATTCAAACACTTTTCTGCCGATGATGGTGTTTCCAGTGGCACTTTTCCCACATCCAGTTTTTCCCAGCAGAACCAGTCGGATCTGGTCTTTCCTCTCAGGGATCTGATGCTCACCTCCAGCTGTTGAACTTTCTCCTGAAACTACAACACAACAATCAACAACCTTCTCTAACTGCTCTTCTCTTTTAAGATCAGTGATATTTACATATCTGGCATTAGCAGATTTTTTTTATAAAATGGTTAGATCCAATCCTTGATTCTGATTGGTCAATATCTGTGTTTTATTCACGATGGGTTAGGGTTATTTATTCGCGGCTGTGACCGCTTCACCCAAAGGTTGTATGTATTACAACACAACCATGGCCGTAGCCAGCTATGAGGTCATTTTTTTACATTCAAAAATAAAATTTCATGCTCTCTGAATGATTAATTAGCCGTGTTTAAAGTAATAATTGAGGTTTAAATATCCAAAAAATGAGCTACACGCATCAAAAGAATGAGAAGAAATAAGGTTGATGATGTCATTAAAAAATCACAAGTTATAGTGCTCCCGAGATATTAACCTGAATTAGCATGCTAAATTACTAGCGCCGGCCCGGCAGGTGTCGTAATACCAGTTTCGGCGGAAATACAGCCCACTACTACATTTCAGTTCAGGGAAGAGTTCAAATAATGATTGGTCGACATTATGCATGAGGAATACATTTTGGTAAGTTGTAGTATACTGTATCTTTCACCAGTGTTCGTGTTCTTTTTAGCTAGTAGAGATGATCGGTTCATGTGCGCTAGGATCTGTGGTGTAACATTTACAAGCGCCAAAACTGCATTTATTGTTTGAATTGCGAAATAAAATCGACAGAATCTGAGAGCTGAGATTTTCTTATATATCATAACTAACCTGCTCTGTCTAGTCTGTCGGTCTTCGTGTCTTCGTGTCCTTTTCTGTGCGTGACAAAATTGATGTGTGGTGTGAGAGCGTGTGAAAAGTGTCGATTGTGTGTCTCACGGTGAATTCGTTAAGAGTTGGCAGCTCTGAATGGCGCTAGCTTGATCAACATCAGCGAATGCTGTCTGTCAAATTAATTCAAACTAGCTATAAAAATGTAATATGAACAAAACGAATACCTGTGTTTACCTAAACGAATACCTAAACTAAAACTGAATCTTCCAACCTTTTACTATTGTGTAAATTGACTTGATTAATATGCGAGATGGAGAGAGAGCAAGACAGCGCTCACTCGTGTTGTTTGAAGACGTGAGGGTGCGCGCGGCCGTGGCACAACTCACTTTCTGGAGGTATACTGCCCCCATCTGTTATGGAATATGGAGTATGATTAGATTTTTTTTGACACATGGCACCTTTAAACCACCTCATATGAGTGTTTGCAATTCATGTTGCTGCGAGAAGCTAGTGCAGTGAACAGGGCTTGAGAGCGCGTTGTTAATGAGGGCATGGGTGCAGCCTCTGTGTTGCCAGATCCACCTAATGGAAAGGTGTCAAATTGTCAAATAACCTTAGGCTACGTTCACACTGCAGGCTGAAACGACCTAATTCCGATTTTTTTTTTTTGCCCCATGCGACCTGTATCTGATTTTTTCATGACAGTCTGAACGACACAGATCCGATCTTTTCAAATGCGACCCAGGCCACTTGGGTATGTGGTCTAAATCCGATATGAATCCGATCTTTTGAAATGCGACTTCAATCTGAACAGTCAGGTCACATGTATCCGACCCGCACGTCATTGCACGCACCTGTAGCTAGCCAATACATGCTAACTCCAACGCGTTTCTGCACTGTTATGGGCCGCTGCAGACGAGTCTCTTCCCCAGTGTTGTGCCTGAACGCGTTCAATGAACGATAGTGCATGAACGCGTTCATATACTGTATTACTGCCTGATGAACATTAACTGTGAACACGTTCATTCTGGTGTCTGTGAACGTGTGCTCAATTTTTTTTTTAAAATAGCGATTTCACTATTTTCATGTTAAATAGTGTGTAATGTTGCTGTTGGTGCATAAATAGTATCTGCAAAGTTGCAGTGCTGAAAGTTCAGTGTAAGCAGAGATATCGTCTTTTAAAAATCAGGAAGTATAATTGCCTACAAAAACGACTGGATTGGGACTACAGCTGGGTTACGGTACGTCACTAATCCACACATTTGCATCAACCACTCCCTCAGGAATATGCAGGAAAGGGCATGGCCATATTTCTGAGGCACGTCGACTCGTCGAGTGTGTTGTGTTCATCCAGCTGTCAGGTCTTCTGTGTTCGAGCTTCCCACGGACGCTGTACTTCGTCAACAATGGATACAATTTAATTTACAATTTAAATAAAGATTGATTATGTTTCTGAAAATGACGATGGTAATTTAGCTCTCTGTGCTGCACATTTACGGAAGACAGCTTCCAGAATCTCCACGAGTTCAACACCGGATTCAACAAGAAACTGTTACTAAAACATGAAGCAGATCCAACTTTAAAACCAGAGGCAGCAGTTGTTGAACACAACCTGTAAGTAGGCTAAGACTTCATCATTTTAAATGTATTTTCATGTATAATTCCAGACGTTGCCTTGTGTTTTAGTTTTCTTCAAATGCCAGCGCTGGCTTTATTGCCACTAGGCTATTAGTTATGCTATTTTGTGTCTACGACAAATGCGTACAAACAATGGACCTGAATTTTCTATAAGTGCTAATGTTGTAAATTTATTTTTCATGTATATATGCTTTATGACGTTATTTTCGATTTGATCAAGAACGTAAACTAATGCCGACGCTGTTTGAGTATAACATTAGTAGCCAGTCAGTTGCTATTGTTGCCAGTCAGATGCTATTGTGTAAAACAAACGTGTATAAAGTTAAACAAAATGTATCAAATTATCATTCAGAAACGTTTATTAAGAGCCGTGTGTGGTGTGGTTCTGTTCGACTCTCTTCATCGCCGCTTTCTCGGTCTGATTCTGCCTCACTGATACTGCAGTTCGACACATATTTACATCTGGACCGGAGCTCATGACATACATTTTTCGCCCGTAAAGGTAATGGGCGTTAACCTTCCAGACAACGTGAGCGACAGTTTAGCCAATCACAACACGCCGGGCCAAACTAACCAATCAGAGCCCACTACGTGTTTCTGAGGGAGTGGTTTCATAGACTCAGGAAGTCAACCGCTCGTTCGAGGACAGAGGAGAGCGTGGCTGACAATAAACGTGAAGTTTATGAAAAATAAGACTTTTAAAAAAAGAAAAAACACGAATACATGTTATATTGCACCCCATGAACACAATCATGCAAAGAAAAAAAGCAGTCAACCCCCCCTTTAATGATGCAAGTGGCGCAAACACAGACAAGCGGAGTTATACAAACAGTGAAAAGTCAAACACATTCGAAAAAACGTTATACAAATATATTTATACAATAATAATGGCAATATATTTAATAGGGTGCTTGTGTTGTTAAATTGAGCTTATAATATCCTCTGTATTTAATCAAACTGATTATTTTTGTCGGCCATTTAAAACGTCTATCGAAAAACAGCCATATATTTGAGCTACTTGCATCTTATCTCGTACTGTATGATCGTTAACTGACTGGGTGTTTTTTTTTATTCACGAAATTGGATTAGCAACTAAATGATGCGCATCAGAGGGGATTAGAAGTGGGTATACGCAATGCCGACTGAAAAGGAAGTGGGTAAACCTGCGTATACTCATGGTTGGTAGGTGCACTACACCACTGTATATATATATATATATCTGGCAAATTCCTTTAAAAAATGGAAGCTGCTTCATGTCCATGGGGAAATGTGGGTACAGTAGCCTAACCATTATTATAGCACAATTCTTTACACAACACCCCGGACCTCACTAATTTTCAGACCGTGGTTACGACCACAACACCCCTAGCAACCACTCTTAGCAACGGAAACATGTTTGATCTCATTGATATTGTTCATTGAAGCTTATTGATTTTGTGAGAGATCAAATACGTGAGTGTTCCTCCATTTATTTATTTTGTCTTTTTTGCATGATTTTGTGTTTGTCAAACACATTTGCAGCAGCAAAGAAAGCAAAAGTGAAATGAGATCAGATGATGATAGTTACCTGGTGATGGTTTTATAATCATCATAAAATTGCTTGTGCTACTAAACTCCAGCCTCTGCAGGACCAGTGCTATATATGTGCAAAACACAGCCCTGTGTGGCCAAACTCATCATGCATTATTGAAATAATTGATCAACAGAACAACTTACAATTGATTACAATCTCCTTGCTGCAGCTCTTCTTCATCTGTTCCATGATAAATTTCCCACCGTTCTCCGTCATCATTCCTTCAATCTTCTGCAGCAGTTCTGGGACTTGATCACCATGTTTACTCTTGTTATTGAAACAGTGAAACTTTCCTCCACATTCAGTCACCAGTCGCTGGAGATCCTCATGATCTTGTAGATGTTCCTCAATGGTCTGATCCAGATCCTCCAGCTCATCTCCGTGTGTGAACAGAATCATGATGTACTTCTGAACTTCAGGACCTAATAAACCTTTAATATAATCCAGGATCTCCTCCTCGTTTTCTACAGGTTCCTCTACAGGAACGGTGAGCAGAACTGCACTGAGACCTGATGAACATCGAGAGACCAGCTGATCCTTCATCTTCTCCAGCTTCTCTTTATACAGATCTGGATCCAGTAGATCTGGGCAATCAATCACACACACCTGCTTCTCTCCGGTCTGATTTACTTCCTCACACACTTCAGACTCATGTTTCTTTTTCTGTTTGTATATTTTAAACCTCTTTTCTCCCAGTATAGTGTTTCCAGATGAGCTTTTCCCAGAACCCTTCCTGCCCATCAGAAGAACCCGGATCACTGGATCATCTGGACCAGCAGAGATCTCTGAAAGAGACAGAAATGTGGTGTCTGACTGTAAATATAATGTCAAGAGTAAGTGTATGATCTTCATGGCCCAAAATGACAGAAATTGCTGTAGCTTTTGTCAAAACATTGTGCCTTTTTTGTTGTTGGTTTGTAGTGAAAACCCACCAATTATCATTAGTATACACTTTTTTTTACACACTTGTGTAATTAGTGTTACTGTAAGTGAGAGTATCATTACCTGTGAATATAATTACTGGAACACAGTACTGAAAACATGCATATCCAGCAAAATAATGTGCTTATGTAGATGTACTGGTGTACTGGTGAAATCATTGTGAGGACAAGCAAGGAAATGCTCAACAAAATATTTATTAAATTTAGAATAAGTTTAACACTTAAATCTTTATATAAATGAAATACAATTTTGTCTGGTGCACTTTCATTCGCTCTTGCCCGGTTTGGAAACAATGAGGTTGAAAAAATGATGAATGATGTGGAGAAATCACTTGGAAATATTAAATATTACATTCACCGTCATTGTAAAAATATGCTGTAAAAAAACAGCCAAATTCTTTTTTCCACATAGAAAAAAATGCATTCTGGGTGATTTTTGTCATTTTAGAGAAAATAGCTTACAGGAATATCTATCTATCTAAAAATAACAGGAACGTCTGTGTGTCTGTTATTCACAGATCTCTCTATTACTGATTGATTTCAAACTCGACAGGTGTCTTTCTCTGGTAAAGAGTAGTGTGTAACAGGTACAGAAAGTGTACCGTTAAATGTATGTATAGTGTATTATTCTCACAAAATTGTTTGTTTACATGCACCTGATATGACTGGTTAAGTGAAGTGGGTGTCTTTCCCTTTAATTGATGTGATGTCATGAGTCAATATCATTTCCTGTTCTGTCCCCTGCTCTTCCTCTTTGCATTGGTGATGCAGTGAGAGGTGAGGTTATTTTGTGCTCCTGAGAATCTTTTTAAATCCTAATTTTAATTGTTGCTTGCATGTCTATATTTTCTCTCTAAATTATGTATATAATACTATTTAACCCATCTGTGTGGTTATTTTTGTCATTTCATCCCGTTTAAGTAATATTTTTGCATCTGGGCCTAAATGTGAACTGAGAGCACATGTGACAAGAGTACATCACATTTGTTTTATAGAGTTAACAACGGCGACACTCACTAAGAGGCTGATTACATTTGTTTGTATATCAGGAATAAAAAATCAGTGAAATTGCCGTCCTACTATCCTGTTCTCATACGCAACCAAAAACACAACGCAGACAACAGACCAGTTACAAGTGCAGTGCCAAGTTTGACGTTGTTTGGAATAGAAATGTGAAAGATATTGTTAAATATAATCAGTAAAAGAAGCACACTTTGGCTTTTGCCACTCTAGCCACTGGCCCCTCTCATGCTGCGTTCACACAGAACGTAAACTGAGCGTCTAGAGCGAGTGATTTCCATCTTAAGTCAATGTAAAGACGCGTTGACATGCGTATGGTGGTCCTGCGGCACGATCCGGCACGGTTGGAGCGTGGAACTGCTTATCAGAAAATCTGGCAATTACATGTTCTAGTAATGACAATTATCTACATAAAAAAATCTGGAGCTCAAACTTTGACCACTATTTTAAAGTTAGTGTACTCTCTCTTTGTATTGTCAGCAACAAGTGAGAAGTCATGCCAAGGCAAAAGGCAGTAACTTCCACATGATCAATATTAGGCTGGTGATCATCATTAACAAAATCATTATGGTAACGCCTCTGAAATCTGGTGATCATGGCATTTATTTTATATGATTTACAAATACTTCAAGCCATCTACTTATTGCTATCCTGTGCTTTGGTTGCAGTCTGGTGGCATTATTAATACATAGCGGTAGAGTATCTTCAATTGGTACACAGTGGTGTAAGAACGTGAATGGAAAGACTTCCTAAGTACGCGTTCAAAATGATCACGATAAAACAAATCCTCACGCACATTCGACCCAGGGACTGTTTATAGCGATGGATCTGGAAGATGCATATACTTTCACAGTCAGATAGTTTCACCCTTTATCACAGACACTTCCTGAGATTCGTGTTCAAAGGTGTCACGCTCCATTCATGAAAAGTATGAAGTACAAATGCAGTGCTTTCCCCCTTGAGACTCTGTAAAGAGTGTGTTCTGGACTGCGTCTTTTCAGTATGCAGTGGTGTCAGCTGTCTGCCTATTATTGTGCTTGTGCATAAATCCCACAGATTTATTCTGGCCGCTGTGATTGTAGGTATAACCCGCTTGTAACAGCTGGTCTGATGTTGTATGCACCAGCACTTGTTGCTTCATTATGTTTAATGCACCAATACCCTTGTTGCTAGATCACTCTTCCAGCTAGATGTCTAACCCCCACACCTGGGTCCAACTCGACTCGAACCCGGGTCTCCGGCATGAGAGTCGGGCGCTCTAACAAGCAGGCTAAAGACTGCAGCCCCTAGCATCTGTCGCTAGAGCACCTATTGAGATCAGGGGAGTGAGGTTTACTCGCACAGCAACTACTAGCTGGCCTCCGTTACACTTGCATGAGTATATCAAACAGGTCCGGTACCTGAACTGGGCGAGACGGGCTTTTAGTTCTTTGTTGTATTCATCTGCTATGGCATGTGTAATATTTTCTGAAAAATGGCTTATGACACTTACCTGAAGACTGTATGGGGCCAATAGTGCCACTGGCTTCACTCACTCCCACTTTACCCACTATCCTGTAGCGGATCAAGTACTGCTTTCCAGACTTCAATCCAGTCAGAGTAAAGTCTTCATCAGCTGTGTTTATGATCATCCACTGTTCCTCAGCGTCAGAATCTGCTTTCACCTGCTGGTACTCCACTCTGAACTGCACAGTTTCTCCAGTTGGGGACTTCTGCAGTTTCAGGGACACACTGTCCTCCAGGATCTCCTTCACTTCTGGTGGGGGAGGCTTCGACACGGGCTGGAACTGTGTGTCAGTCAGCTTCCCTTTTTCATACAGATAGATAGAGGAGCCTGGACTGGAGGGGTCGGAGATGGCAGAAATAATGAATCGATATCTCTTTTCATCTTTATTAGCCTCTGAAAAACTCCTGAAAAGAGATAAATTCTCTCTCATCTTTGAAGTGATATTAGGATCGTTGAACCATTTTCTGACAGATGCTACAGTGCTTGACTGCAGTTTCACCACATCTAGCTCTTTAAACTCATCAGACTCCAGAAACTTCTTCAGGTTTGAGAGATCTGGGTCTTCATACTTCAGAGATGTGAGGGTCAAGCCCACCACAACATCAATATTAGGATTAAAGAGGATGGTTTTGAGACAGTTTGAGTCTACAGTTTTGATACCCTTCAGTGTCTCGGTGTGAGAACTCAAGAGGTTGAGTTCAGCCGTTGCATGATCTAACCACTGGTTAAGCATGTCAGCATTAAAGGGGGAGCTGTAGTGGATCTTCAGGATGTCTTCCAATGATTTTTGCTCCATCTCTCCTCCTCGTATAGCAGGCAAGACCTTGGCCACTGCTTTCAGGAGCACCGTTTGATAAATGTTAAGACAGCCCTGAAATAAACTTAGCCTCTCTTTGATGTCATTGAAAACATTTTCCATCGGTTTTTTAGACAGGCCGTTGCACGTCCTCTGTACTTCTCCCAGCCCCTCGATTATATCTTCAGTTTTGGAAACCAGATGTGTGGTGATTTCTCTCTCCAACCGAGCAGCTTTTGTATCCAGCAGAGAAAGAGGATGGAGCCAGACCTTTATTGGAACTGCATTCAGTGGATTCTCCTTCAGTATAGTGGGGAGCTTCTTGTACACCTCCAGGGCCTCCGTGTAAGTGGTGGGGTTCTGCTCAAGGTGGACATCACCATAAAACGTGCAGGCAGTCCCCTCAGCCACTTTCATTTGAGCATCGGTCATGTTTACTGCTCCTTGTCCCTCAATGGAAAATTTAGGAATCTTCTTGACCATGACATCCAGTTCTCCCTCAATCTCCTGCTTGTCTTCCTCTTCTGAAAATGTCCGATCAAACACCATGACAGCCTGAGCTCCGTACAGTACCGCCGTGACCACATGAGTTGCAGTTTTCTGGTCAAAGACCTGAGGGTAGGTGATCTTGCCCAGATGAGTCATAGTGAGCTGTTCGAATCTAGAGGTTTCACTGTAATACATTGTAACTCTGGACTGTTGGTTTGAGGATTTGGAGTCACGCAGGAACTTGGCAGATCCTCCCACCTCCACCAGCCCTCCCAAGAAGCTGGCCTTCAGGGAAGCACTTACATCCAGGAGACTGGACTTACTAGAGAGAGAGTCTGAGCTACTGAACTTCACATTTGTCCTGGGCTGTGGACGAGTGTCCAAATCTTCAGTCAGTGACTTCTTATCCCACAGAGTGACAGCTGAAATGAGAAATTACTTTTAGAGTTATGTCCGAGGAAGTGATGAACTGTTGAAGAATGCAGATTTTATAGTGTTGTTACACAAAGATTGGTAATTAGTGATGTAAGAGTTGATGAATAGGGGGAAATAAACTTTTATTTATTTAAGTATTTTAGGTTTGTAAAGCACCTGGAATGAAGGTATCCTTGCGGCAGTCATACAGCATACCAGGAAACAGAGGCCTTCCTAGAGCTGCCACTTCAATGGGCTGTGATGCCAAGGCTGCAGGAAATAATACATAAAAAGGTAATATTTATAATTAGAATATTTACTGTATAATATATTGTAACTCTGATTATAAAGAGTATTGTATAACTCTTCCTTGCCAGCATTTTTTTTTAAGTTGCCAGCCACTAACAACACAGATCAGCCAGGGATTACCCTTTTCTCTCTTTATCCTATGATTGTTTGCAAACTAATATTATTTATGTTTATATTAAAGGAATTAGAGGAATTAAATTAAATATTTTTCTGGCTTTGGAAGTTAGATGTCTTTATGAAAATACAATATTCAGCCTTTCATCCTGTTGTGGAAAATGCCCCCCAAAAATACTTGGGGAAATCCATGGGAGGAACCTCAGAGCGGTTAATGGATTCAGGAAAGGCCTCCCGGAGCTTGAAGGGTGTAGGCTGGACGGGGCACAGAGGCGGGGCCGGAATCTGGCGAACCGAACGAGTCCTCCTTCTCCTGCGGCGGCGTCTCACTTGGCTTGATTCACTCGCCAGGCTTAATTCAACACTGGACTCACTTGACTCACTTGATTCGGCTCTTGACTCACTTGATTCACTCAACTCGGCACTTGATTCTTTCGAGTCGGCTGGCACGCGCTCAAACTCTGGTTCGACCGGCGAAATCTCCACTGTCACTGAAACAGCACATTCAACAGGGCCAGTACGGAATACGGGCTCGAGGGTTCCGATACGATGAGTGGGTCTGGCAGCAACGATATGCTGAGAAGCTCCTCTGACGGTCCTCAAGGGTGGATCAAACGGGCTTAGGCGGCGTGCGGAGTGAGTGAGAGAAATCCGCCGCATACGAACCTCCCCGGCGCAGGGATAAGAGCAGTTCCTCGGGATCCTCCTTTTCTGCTGAGAGTTCAAAAGCCTTTCTAAATAGGGCGGTAAACACGTCGTAAGAAGGAAACGACATCCGACCTGGTTCCCAAAACGTGCCTGTCCACTCCTGAGCCTTTCCAGTTAACAGTGAGCAGATGAAAGAAACACGGTCGTAATCCGAGGTGTAAAACTGGGGCTGATGATTCGTATATAAGCTGCACTGCTGAAGAAATCCTTCACACGCTACAGGTGAGCCATTAAACTTTTCGGGAAGTGGTGTACTGGTATAACTAGCTGAGGTACTCACACTGAATTGCAGTGGAACAGGTGCAGCGGGAGTTTGGGCTTGATTAGCCGCTGTGCTTGGGCTCTGCGGAGACCATGATTGCACGGAGCTTGCTAGTTCCTCGAGGAGAAGTTGGTAACGTACGGACAGAGACGTCGGATCCATGCGCATAACTTTATTATTACTTGAAACACAAGCAGACATAAACTCAGGCAAACAGTAAAACAAGGGGCAATCCAGTAAATCGTGGTGAAAAACTGGCTATGGTCGAGGCAGGCAGCACAGGTTCGTAAACGGTCCAGGATACAGGCAAGGGTCAAGAGTCCAGGGAAACACGGAGAAACAGAACAGGGAATAACGCTCAGAAATGCACACTTACAGTGTGACAAGACTTTGCAAAGGACACAGGGAAAACTCAGGTTTAAATAAGGAACTCATGACAAACAGCTGAACATAATAAAACATAAAGAGTCCATGGAGAAACATAGCCTCCAGAGGCTCACGAGGTCACTACCCCTTCGCCCTACCCCTCGATCTCAACAAGAATCGGGACTCCCTACCCCTAGATGTGAACGCGCAAAACAGAGGGGTAGGGGCAAGTGGTGAATTTGAGGGGTTAATGTCTGTATTTGTACAAAAGGCCCTCTATCAGTCAAACATGAATATAGTTAACATGGGATCATCACTTATTACATCCAGTAGGTGGTCCCTTCAGTTCATTGTAAGTATTGTATCAGCCGTAACACAGACTGCATTATGTGGAAATGGATAGAATCTCCAGTCAGGCGTGGACTGGTAGTGATTGAGTTATTCTTGTGTGGTTTTAGTTGGTGTGCATCAATGACGATATGTAAGTGCGCTGTTTATTATTAATGTTTCTTTGAGAGTTTCTAGCAGCTATTTAATATTGTAATATGTGCTGATTCATCCTAAGCTAATTATAAATGTTTGTGAAAGACGTCAATTGTATAATATTTGTGTAGCGTTAAGTGACTATTCAATCTTATTATTCTCACTGTAATAATGTAATCGCTACAAATTATTACTTTATTGACCGTTGTTGTTCTCTTTCGGTAATTTTTATTTGAATATATTCTGATAATATTGTTCTAATGTCCTAGCTTATGAGCATACTGTTGTAATAATTTGTGATGGTATTATTATAGTTAGTTATTATTCCTTCTCTCTGTTTATTTACAACCACAACCACACACACATATTTGCATATTGTTCATATTGCAACCAAATAAAAAAATCCCTTTATGCCATACCATGCTGATCGCTGTTTCCTTATCCTAACTATTGGAAGTAAACCTATATCAACCTGATTCTGTCTTTGAGTCGTGACTGACATCCTGTAGCAAATGGAACATATTACCATCTGTTTGATTGAGTCACAACTAACCCTTCCTAACAGTATACTGTTAAGCTTTTCATTCGGACCGTCTTTACTTTGTAATGTTCAGCCTAATCGGTAGAATTACATGAACTAAAATTGGGGTCAGATTAAACTGTGAGAGTTTGTGAAGTGTTTTGAAAGATGACAACAACAGATATAACCGGGATAAAAGTGTATTTAAACAATATTCACAAGGAACTTAAAACAACACAATAAAAACAAGAAAACTTAGTCTGTTAAAGCAAAAGCAAGTAACTTTTTCTCTGTGGTCGCCCTACACGTTGGAAGCAGAACTGTCCTCATTAGAACTACAGAAACGCAACCAGAACTGCTTCTGCCGACCCTACCACCTCGTGTGCTTCGGGGCACAGGGGTCTTCATTGAGTTCCAGTCTCAGTGTCTGATTTGCAGGAGGAGGGTTTAAGAGGGGTCAGTTTAATTGTTTCCTGCTGGTCATCCGTTTCAGTGTACTGGATTGGCTTCTCGAGCTATACTAGCGACCAGTCTTGAGAGGCTGGTTCTTTTAGCAGTCTCAGCCAAAGTCTTTTTGGGATAAGACAGACCTGAGGACCGTCATTATCTCGAAATAAGGCTTCGGTGAAGAGATCCTTACGCCAATGGGCCAGACCTCTGAGGGACAACCCCTCTGAGAGGAAGTGGTTAACTCTTTACTATACAGTGCCCATTTGCCTTCAGTGCCTGCAGGGGCCCGTTCTGCCAACCCTAACACCTAGTGTGCTTCAGGACACAGCCGTCTCTGCAAGCCCATGTATCAGCCGGGAAACATAGCCGCACTGGGATGCGCGCCCACCTCTGAGGAGGGTCTCAGAGCAATTAGTTTGACTGTTGTCTATGAGCAACACTATTTTCATGTATCACAACTAAATCACCATAATCATATAGTCATCCTATTATCAGTCACAATTTCAATTTATTTCATCCTCGTGTACATGATTCAATTTAAAATGCTGCACATAGCAATATAAATCACTTAGCAATCAACAAGTTTATCAGTATTAAATAGTTTCAAAATACAGTATTAAATAGTGATTTAGGTGCCAACTAACACCTAGGGATGGGAATCGAAAACCGGTTCCACTCGAGAACCGGTTCTAAATTTTACGATCCATCGATATTGTATGCGCTCGACGTTAACGATTCCTCTTATCGATGCTCCTGCTCTGAGTCAACCAGTATGTAGGCTTCAGACAGTGAACTAACAACTGTCCCTTTGTCCTTTATTAAGCACCAGCACGGCGTCCAAAGCGATTTTTTTGTACCACCAAAGCCTTATTTGATCGGTGAGTACAGGTAAAATTGTCTCTCTCTGTAGTTATGAACCGCTGCGCTCGTGACAGGGCTCGTGTTAAACTGAACGAGCAGGGAGAGAGAGAGCCCCGGTCGTGCGCGCGCGCACCTCTCTCTGGCTTCACTGCTCAAAACTAAGCGCCGTCTTGCTCTCTTTCTCCCTCGCACATATTAATCGAAATAATCGACACAATGGTAAGGTCGGGAGACTAAAGTTTCATATGCAGCATTCAGAGATTTGTTTTTCCTGAATTACCGCTGGGTGTGAATTGTGCTAAAATAGGTCTACGTTGCCTTATCTTCTCTGAAAAGCGGTCCGCACATTTAGCTGACATAAACCACACTTCAAATAAACGGAAAAAAAACGACCAAAAGATGAAATGTTTTCTGTGATGACACACATCTTGTGTCGGAACGCGCACACGTCTGATAATGACACGTTCAATTCGCGAACTAATGACTCATTTGAACCGATTCGTTTTAATGAATGGTTAAAACAACTGAACTGATCTTCCAACACTGAACTGAACTCAACACTGAACTGAACTCATAAGGTTTCATTTATTATATAAATTACATCAAAAGTACAGTTTACTTAGTCAAGTAAGGTTTAAAACAAATAAAACCAATTGTTTCTTTCCCCCCAAAAAGCATATGACTACTTTTTCCCACACAGTGCTATCAGGAATCGATAAGAGAATCGTTAAAGAATCGGATCGATAAGCAGAATCGTTAGTGGCATCGATATCGATAAAATCTTATCAATTCCCATCCCTACTAACACCACATGGCCATATTTAAACGAAAGTGACGTGAGCTCAGTGTCAAATCTCACTATACTAGCATGAAGTCTCGCGATAACGTGAACATAGTGTGTAGCCGTGAGAAGGAGCCGTGGGGTGGTGATGGTGCAGTGGATAAGACACATTGGTGTGAGAGACCCGGGTTCGAATCCACTGTGAGACACCAATGTGTCCCTGAGCAAGACACTTAACCCCAAGTTGCTCCAGAGGCGTGCGACCTCTGACATATATAGAAATTGTAAGTCGCTTTGGATAAAAGCATCAGCTAAATGAATAAATGTAAAATGTAAATGTAAGGAGAAATAAAGCAGAAAAAATACCTGGTTACATTCTCATGAGGGCTGTTATGCTCTTGAAATGAAGATGATGCTGAGCTTCCCACTATAATGATGTGTGTGCGCATGCTGAATTGGATTCAGACTTGACAGCCATGCTTTCTCGGTTTACTTTGGGGGCGCAGTGCGACATGTAATTGCTTGCCCTAACCCCATGTCTTCCGGGATGTGTGTGAAAAATGTTGGCATTATGGAAAATGTCCTACTCTCTCTCACTATCCTCAATGATGGCACCTGTGCTACTGCAGACTGCCTCTTCCCTGCATTTCATGGGTCATCCTACAAGTACAGACAGTGAAAGGCAAAAACACTCATAATGCACAAGGGTAGTTCTGAGTCGAGGTTGAGCTGTGCATTGTGAGAAACCATGATTAAAGTCACAGCGCTGGCCCTTGACCAGACGATGTCCACCCTGGTGTTCCAGAAGCTTACCCTGGCTAAACTATGCAGAGATGCGAGACATCGTCAAAGTTTGCTTTCTCGATGCTCCCATCTCATGGTGTGGCCTTTTTCGGTAACACTGTTTTCTGTGAGACTGTGCCCAGCAGTTCTCCACAGTTCTGGATTAGGCTGAGGTAACCAAAAGCTTTCCCCGTTGTGCTACCTGAGTCAGTCGGGGGCTGCCCCTCAGTCAGTTTCTCGCCAAGGGTGTCAGTCTTCTGTAAAAAAAAAAAAAAAAAAAAAAAAACTCTGCCACAATCAGCTCTACTGTGACGTCAAGCATTCGCAAGAAGATGGCGCCACCTGTCTCAGCAGCCCTGAGTCAGCTGCTCTTCCCTTGAGGACCGGGCAGAGAATCCTAGTTGAATCAATTGTCTTCCACCACAGGTGTCTAGGTCGCAAGAGGGCCAGACTGGCGATGTGCGACCCTGCTAAGCCTTTCTACCCTTAGCTGCCTTTTGTATTGCCACGTGTGGAGACAGGTAAGTGTTGCACCGCACTCTCAGACCCTACTTCAGGCCGCTATGATTTCCTAGTCTGGTCCATGTCTTCCACCTCGCTGCTCCACCCTGGGTACGCCCATGATGCCCCTGATCCCCCTGATCCCCCTGGCTCAGTTTCTGGAAGCCTGGAAACCTGGGTGTGCTCTTTGATACAGTAGCGGTTCTAGGCACGGGCGAACCAGGCAGTCGCCTGGGGCGGCATTTCTTCATGTCACATGGGGGGCGGCACGAGCAGTTAAAAAAATCCTCTGTGCCGCGAAGTTTTTCTATTTTTTATCATTTCGATTCAATAATTGGCAATGGCGCCCTGCTTGCTGAGATAAGGTGCCGTGCGCAGAAGCGATGTCAAGGGGATCTCCTGATTAGTTCACGTATG